ACCAGACTGTACGTACTAAAGCCTTCGTAATGTTTATTATCAGTTCTCCCCTGGGGCCTGTGTGTGATCAAGGTGGCTGTACATTGCTTAAAGGGAAGAACTCTTAGATTATAGGAATACTGGCAACAAAATTATCTTGTAAACTCCTGCTACATTGAGTTACATTATTAGGTACAAAATAATTGATACCTGAGCAGAAGCCTTTTTTCTCTTCTTTTTTACTTTTATAAACAACTGAAAAAAATGAGGTACGTTCTCCAGTACTGCTTACTGCAGTATTGTAGGCAAAACACCAGAAAGTCTGGCAGAATCCGTGGTCATGAAAACCTGTGGAGTTCTGGTGGCCCAGTGCTTACACAGGCTGCTCCAGGGCAGCCGTTCAACACTGTCAGCTGCTCCATGGGAGAAAGACAAGGCTTTCTACTCCGGTAAAGAGCTACAGTCTTGGAAACACCAGGGCCAGTTCTGCCCTGTCCTGTGGGGGCCCTTGAGTCAGCATCGACTCAGAGGCAGTGAGTGAGAGCCCGAACAGCATGTACCATGATTCCAAGCTTCCCTGCAATTAAGTAATATGACAGCTCTACCCAAGCACATTAGATGGTTCTAAAGGTAAGTTAGCAGAGACTTTTTGCCTTTCAGTGTCCTGATCCATGCAAGCTGGGCTTACCAAACAAGGTTTTTGCTGTTATAATGAACAACAGGCTTGAGCTATTTTCTGAAAAATAATAACACATTTCCAAAGCGACCCTGCACCACCATTGTAGAGTCACTTTGAAGTCACCTCCTCTGAGAGTATCACCCCTTAGGGATGCCACCGTGCCCCAGGTGAGGCGGTCCCCACAGTATGTGATGTAGGTGGCTATTTTCAGGTGACTGTAATGTGGTTTTGGCAAGTGCAATGCTTCTCCAGTTCAGAATTACTGCCTGTGTTCTGTCTCATGTGGGCTCCTTGTTGTCTCTCTGGCTCTGAGCCCTAGTCTTTACCTTATCCCGGCGCTGTGGCTTCCCTATTTGACCATCCACAGTGACCCACCCAACAGCTGACTCCATAAGATCGCCATCCGTGGACCCTGTTCAAAGCCCCTTGTGGCTAGGAGGTCTTGTGGGTCACCGTGCCTTTTAAAATTGTCCTCCTCTTTGGGGGATGGAAGACAGCAAAGAGTGTGGGCTCTCCTAATGAGTGAATGAGGACTGAATCCTAATGAGTGATTCAGTACTGGAATTCTAGCCTTCGGTGCAGGAGACCTTGGTCCTATTCTGACCAGTGCACCTCATGGGTAGCCATCACCTATCCGTGGAGGTTTGGGGGTTGCGTGGGTGCTATACAGATTTTAGCAGAACTACTTGATGGAGATGGACTAGGAAGAAAGGCCTGATGAAAACCAGTCAAGGGAAAGCCTATGGATCATGAAGGTCTGATCTAGAACCCATTTGGAGTATGGAGGGGGCAGGTGGCGCAGTATTCCTTCCACTATGCATGGGCTTCCCTGGAGTCAGGGCCTCTCAAGGGCAGCAAACATCAATTAGGGATGGACAGAGAGGTTAGGATGCTTCAGCAAATGGAGCAGTGCACAGCATACTTGTATGGGCATATTTGAGTCTTCCTAGGAAAAATGAAAGCAGCCCTGGGGGTGGGGGGAGCATACTGTTTATACTTTAGGCTGCAATCTGCAAGGTCAGGAGTTTGAAACCACCAGCCGCTCCAAGGGAGAAAGACGGTGTAAATAGTTACAATCTCAGAAATTCACAGGGACAGTTCTAGCCTCTCCTGTGGGGTCACTAGGAGTAGATATGGAGTTATAGGAGGTAGTAAAAATGAGGCAGAGGGGATCAAAGCTAATTTCGTGCTTCTCAGTGGTACAAGGTCCAAATCCCACTCGGCCTTGACTGCCCAGTGGGCCGCACCCAGTCATCTTCTCATCGATGCTAGGTGTCTGTCTGCCATTCCTGCCCACTGCCCTCCCTTTGGGGAGGGTCCAGGTGCAGCACTGAAGACAATGACCTGTCAATATCGTGAGAGTGATGAGAGCGCCGAGATGAGTTCAGGCCTTTCACATGCTCCACTTCTCTAGCTTCTAGCAAACCTTTTATTTTTTTTGACATGGGAACACAGTGGAAAGAGTAGATTTGAAATGTGAAATTATGAGACCTTGGTCTAGGCCCCAGCTTTACATGTCATTGACCGTGTGACCTTAGGCATGTCCCACTAACCCAGCGGTCCTCAACCTCTGGGTCATGAGCCCTTCGGGGGTCGAACGTTTCATCACAGTAGCAAGATGACAGTGATGAAGTAGCAATGGAAATAATTTCATAGTGGTGGGTGGGTCACCACAACATGTATGAAAGGGTCGCGGCAGTGGGAAGGTTGAGAACCACTGCTCTAACAGAAGCCAGTGGCAGATGATTTCTGCGACACTTCTAGCACCCATTGTCTCTGATTCCCATAGATGAGTAACACCACCTATCTTTGTTGTTGTTGTTAGGTGCCACTGAGTTGGCTCTGACTCACAGCGACCCTATGCACAGTGAAGGAAACGCTGCCAGGCCCTATGCCAGCCTCTCAATTGTGCCTATGCTGGAGCCCACTGCTGCGACCATAGTGCCAGGCCATCTCCTGGAGGTCCTTCCTCTCTCTCACTGCCTCTTTACCATTAGTCCAGCGTCCAGACCCCAGGCTAGAGAACAGCACAGCTTACCTGTTACATTGAGCAAGGGCTTTATTCAGGACAATAAAAGCAAGACAGGCTTTGGACAAGGCAAGGAAACAGGGATGCAACAGGGAGGGGGGCCAGATCCTGTGAAAGAGAAGGAGGGGCTTGGGAGGAACGGTCAATCCTAGACCTTGCCAAAGGCTTTAAGCCTTAAATCTAAGGCTAGTAAAGCCCATGAAACTGGCTCCTCCTGCAAAGATTCACAGCCTCAGAGACCCACAGGGGCACTTTGACTCTGTCTTATAGGATCGCTGTGAGGTACAATTGACTTGAAGGAAATGTATCTCTCGTGGGTTTCCATTGCTGTGGTTTAATTAGGAATGAAAGTCTAAGTTGAATTCACTGTACTGATTTAAACTCCACAGCCCACCACCATGGAGACCCAAACCAAACCACACCTGGTGTGTGCAAGTCAGTTCTGACTTGAAGCAACCCTGTGGGAAAGCGTTTCCTAAGCTTTTCTCTTGACAAAGGCCAAGTGCCACATCTTTTTCCTGTGGAGCAGCTGGTGAGTTTGAACTATCAACCTTTCTTCATCCACTGTGCTTCTAGGGCTCCGTTCTCCCATGTAATCTCAATACTCACAGCCATCGAGTTGATGCTGAATCATAGGGACCCAACAGGACAGGATCCAACTACCTTGTGAGTTTTCAAGATGCTAAATCTTTACAGGAATAGAAAGCCCTGTCTTTCTCCTGAGGAGCAGCTGGTGGTTTCGAACTAATGTCCTTCTGAATTGCAGCTCAACACATAATCGCTATCCCACCAGGGTTCCTTCTCCCATCTAGGAAACGGAATTACCCAGACTGTTAGACATGCACAACTTATGTGAATCTAGACTGTGGGATATAAAAAGACTTTTCCCCAGCTTGTCTCCCTCCAATCTATGCCAGACCTAGGACACTGTTTGCAACGAATGGTAAATGATTGTCAAGTTACCTCCCTGAAGGCACAGCCATCCAGAGCAATTAGACTACATTCTGGTGTACCATAGGTGGGGCTCGCTCCCTGCTGTCAAGGACAGTGGATTGCTTTCCCTGGAGGGCTCAGAATAAAATAACCGCCAGCTCAAGGACGATCAAGGTTAGGCTGCCATCTTGAATCTAGGATCTGCCCATCTTGTCACATGTGTACCCTCAATCCCTTCTCTTTCTATAGCGTGTACACCCCTAGCTTGTCCCCCTCCCATTGTTGTGTTTGCCTATGATACAACCCCTTCCTGTGATATATTTTGGTACCTGTACTCAGGGGGCTTGCATGCTCCCAAGTATATATAAGCCTTGGTTACAAATAAAGCTCTCTCTCCTCCTCCCACACCTCCACGTGCACCATCAAGAGGGGCTGAGGTGAGCATGCTACCACAAAATGTGTCTGACTCCTTTATTTTACTCTCTCACCTCTCTTATTCTCTATGACTTTACTATAATCTTTATATATTATAGCTGTACAATTGTGCCTGTGGGCCTGTGATGTTGTCATGGGCTGGCTTCCCTGACACTAGACCACAGAAGGAATATATCATGTTTAGCTTCTGATCTGTGGGCAGTGACCTTGACATGCATGGTCTTTTCAGTAGCAGTACAAACACACGACACTGGGTAGGAAAGTTCCAGAAGCAAAAGGGGTTTTCCGGTGACTGAAAGGTAAAGCATATTCCCTTAGTCCCAGGCCATTGGGGAGCATTTCAGGGAATTAATGTTACCGGGTGGTTGAAGGATGAAATTAGCCCCTGGCTAGTTGAATCATTTCGATGCCTGCAGCTGGTTTGCTCTACAGGCCTCTCGGCAATTGTCCAGATGCCCTCTAGGAACTCCAGTGCCAGATGTTGTTGCAAATAAGCCTGTAATGATACATGTAACAGGAATGGGCAGAGCCCAGCACGCTGCCCCTGTGAAATGCCTTTTCAGATGGAATATATATAGATGTCTTGGATCATTCAGCTATCTTAACTTGTTCATTACAAACAGAACAGACGGTCAACCTTTCTGACTAATGTAATAACTAATCGTTGAGAGAGTGAGAAGAATGTATGGCTTGAGCTGGAGGGGGTGGGGTGGTTTGTGTGTGTGTGTGTGTGTGTGTTTGTGTACACACCAGTATGCTTTTATGCAGATGGTTTTCCCAGCAACATAAAAATCAAACAATAAGCATTTTTCTCACCCGAGGATTTAAATATGATGCAATCTGTGCTGACCCAAGATAAAGGCATTTTGATAGAAGAGTGCACTGGAATAGCTCATTGAGCCTTAAATGGGCAGCCTAACTTGGCTTTTACTATGCAATTCTTACCTGAACATATAAGCAAGGTCAAAGGCAGCTATCAGGGTGAAGGCTTTCTTCATTGATGGATAGTGATATGGTTGGAGGAAGAACTCAGCCACTGACAGGGGCAAAATCAACGTGTGCTGTAAGAGAAAAGAGGACAAATTCTGATGGCAGGCTGCATGGGGCTGCCTTCAGTTCCCATCATTTTCTCTCCCCCTTAACCTATCTTCTTACACGACTGCCATTACACTTTTGAAAACTTGGCTTAGACACAGTAGTACTCACTGGATGCCCAAGGGTCTGTATGAAATGAAAAATCAGTTGCCTCAATTGGATTCCCACTCATAGCAACCTCGTGTCAGAGTAAAACCTTTCTCCCTAGGGTGGTTGATGCCTGACTTTTCAGAAGTGGCTCCCCAGGCTTTCCCCTGAGGTACCTCGGACTAAACTCCAAGTGTCAGCCTCTCAGTCAAAAGCCAAGTACTTAACAATTGACATTACCCAGGGACTCCCGAGGAACTATACCCATGGCCATTGAGTCAATTCTGATACACGGTGGATTCGGTAGTACAGAGTAGAACTGCCCCTTAAGGTTTCCAAGGCTGTAAATCTTTTCAGAAGCAGACTGCCATATTTTTCTCTTACAGAGTGAGTGATGGGTAGACTGAAGACCAACCTTTGGGGTAGTAACTGAATGCTGAACCACTGCACCACCAAGGTTCATTCCAAGGACCTAGAGTGGCTCTATTGTCTACTGTTTGGGACCAAACTGCTCTCTTCTGGGCACCAAGGCTCTTTGTGATGCGCCATCATCCTTCTACTGCCTTCCTTCCTTCCTTTCTCTCTCTCTCTCTCACACACACATGCACACACACGCACGCACGCATGCACGCACGCACGCACGCACTCACTCATCCTCCTCCACTGGATCACAGCTGCTTCCTTCCCCCTCCTTTGTGGGTGCCCAGTGTGCCTGCTCCCATCTCCAAGATCTGGTTCATATTTTCTCTCCGTGTTCAGAGTGTGTTTCTCTCTCTCTCTTCAAATACTTCATAGGCTCTCTACTCAACTTGGGCTCTCTGCTGCCAAAGCCATCTTCCATAGTGCAGTTCCCACATTTTCCTCTTGCTAATTTCTTTCACTCGGTTCTATTGCATGTCTGTGCTGTGCCAGGTCGTCTAGCATGTTACTGGGTACATCTGCAAACTCTGCCAGGTCTGAGCACAAGTTTCACCCTTCTCCACGCTCCCCATTTCACTGGCACTGTGTCCTGAGCTCAGGTCTGTGGAGGACAGGAGTAGGGAACCAATAGTGTGGGAGAGTCTTCCTCTGAGTGCCCAGCCTCCCAAGCCCTCCTCTCTGCTTCTCTGCTTCTCCCCTCCTTCACAGCCATCTGTTTTCTCACATCCTCTTCATCTTTGAAACTCTTAAAACTAGATTTTTTTTTTCTCCAGGAGGCATAATGAAGAAAATAAACCTTTAGGAATAGTGGTGTTTTCAGATGCAAAGACTACTGAGGCCTGTTCCTTTCTTGGAGATAGAAAGCCAGTCTGGGCAAGATCACTTGAGCATATGCATGGTGCCCTTTCATTTCTGAAACATATGCATTAAGCCCCCCTGCCATCCTCTCTGCTCACTGGTGACATCTCCCAGCTTAACCTAACCATCTGTCCTTCAGTGAACTCTGACCCACGGTGATCTCATGTATATCAAAATATAATTGTGCTCTACAGGGCTTGTTTCATTTCATTTTTTATGGCAGTAAAAATGTACACAACAGGGCTTTTTCCAGTCCACAAATTTATCTAATTTCTATAATTCAGTGATGCCAATTGCATTCTGCATGGTGGACAACCACTTTAACAATCCTTGTCTGAATTGGTCCACCACCATTAACATAAACTCAGTACTCCTTAAGGAAAAAGATCCCCTTTTCTCCTCTTTTCCACTCTTGGTAACAGTAAAAAATTGTTTTTTTTAAAAATAAACCAATAGACAAATATTTGTTTATTTCATGAAAATGAGGTCACGCAGTATATCTTTTATCAAACGACTGACTTTCTTGGCCTAATGGTGTCAGGGTGCATCCATGCTGTGGCATGTGTGAGCACTTTCCTTTTAGGGCTGAGTAAGAGTCCATGGTATGTGCACACCACATTGTGTTTTATCTATTTATCTGGTGACGGATACTTTGGCTGCTTCCACCTTTTACCTGTGGTGAAAAGTGCTGCACTGACATCAGGATACAGATTTCTGTTTGTGTTCTTACTTTTACGGATTTGGGGTATACAGAAAGGCATAAATGGGACTACTGGGCCATAGGGTAGTTTTATCCACATGATTGCTATAGATTACAATATATATAATTGATTTGTGTGGAAGATATAGAAGAGCAATTGGGTTGTCCATTCATTCATTCCCACACACTTTGATTTAGGACATAGACTGCAACCCCCACAATGCAATAACCTTCTCCCCACTGACTCCCTATCGTTACCATTTCCCCGCACCCTTCTTTCCCATTTCTTCCTGCTTTCTGAGCTTGACCTCTGGGCACATGCTGCCTCTTCATCTGTATGGCTGGTTGTTCTAAGAAGGGTATCCGGTACTATCTCAGTTGTCTAATGGCTCCAAACTGGAACTTTCCATTAGCAAGATTTGAAAAAAAAAATCTGCTCAGATAGAAAGCATATTGATGAAGTAGTCTATCCACCCCCCTGTTGATCCTAAGAAGTGGATTGATTCTTTAGAGTGGATGGATGATGGCCTAATAAATGAGATCACCCAAAAATTGATAGGAAACAGGCCTCATACATACAGATACATGAAAACCTTGGCAGAATATGTTGTACAACAAGAAGAAGCAAAGCTAAATGTGGCCATTGTAAGACAACCCATTGTTGGTGCCAGTTGAAAAGAACCTTTTCCAAGATGGATCGATACCTTCAATGGATCAAGTGGTCTCTTTTCTGTGGCAGGGAAAGGAATTCGTCAAACAGTGGGTGCTGCCAACAATACCCTTGCGGATCGCGTTCCAGTCGATTTAGTTGTCAACACGAACCTTGCAGCACCGTGGTCGATCAAGCAGCAGGATGGTGTACAACAGGTAGCACTAATCCTTTTCACTGGGGTGAAGTTGAATACCATGTAATTTCTACTTTTAAGAGGAATCCTCTCCACAGGCCTTCAGCTGGCCCTATGTAAATCTAACCCCAATCACCTTTTATATCATTACTGGATTGTTGTAAGCCATACGGCCTCAGGATTCCTGTATGAGAGCTACCTCAGGATGCTGGGAAGGTGCCCAAGGATGATGAAAGCAGTTACCTTGCCTTTCCTAAAACTATGATGCTTCTTGAATATTTCACAAGTACTTCTTGGGTTTGGAATACGGACCATGTCAATATGTTAATGAATCAGCTAAACCCTGAAGATAAAGACATTTAATATTGACATACAGCAGTTGAATTGGGTAGAATATGTAGAAAACTACTGCATCAGAGCTAAGAAACATGTATTGAATGAAGAAATGTCTGGTCTCCCTGCAGCTAGAAAAGATCTGAACAAGTTAAGTAACATATGTTATGGGTTCAATACTATCCTGTGATCCTAATCTGGTGTATTTTTATTGCAAGATCAGAAATGGCAAGACATGTCTAATGCTTTGTGGTTAGTCCGTGTTATAAGTTTCTGTCATACTTCAGAGCATCCAGCACGGTGAGATACTGAAGACAAGGATTTAGCATGAGAGCATCTATGCATATGGTGGTCTAACTGCACAAAGTGTAAAATGTACTTAAGTCATCTCACCTGTTTTCAGTACATTAAACCATCTTAGATCAAATGTGGAGTCAATTATGATATATTTTATGTAACATGCTGAAGTTTATGCTCATGAAATCCTAGTGAACACACTGTGGTATGCCGGCTCAAATATGTAGTAGCCACCAAAACCATAATGTCTAACATTTTGGTCCCTGGGGGGTACAGGGAATGGGTAGGGTAGAAGTGGGAAAAGAGGCACACTGACCAGTATAACTATGCGATTCTGGAACAACTCATTAAAATATGCCATAAATACATAGTGAATTTATAATTCTAATATTTAGTGCAATGGAAAGTGTATTAGTACAGGAATACTATCTAAGTTGCTACCACTGATTCATCAGTGTTTCATTTTTTTCAATAAGTTGAAGCGGGTTTTAATTTTGTTAAAATTATAGTGAAACAATTGTCAAATCATGCTGTTATTGAGTGACCTCAGATATGGAAGACATGTTATGCGTTCGTGGGGTTTTTCTTGTTAAAGGTCTGATGTAGATAATTTTTCAATAAGCAATCAATTGCTTTCCTAGTCAGATGGCTATATTATTCTAAAGATCATATTGAATCTAATGTGTTTGATCCATATTAGCATAAACTATGGATATTTTGAAGTACTGTGAAAAAAATTTAATAAAATTGTTAGTTTTAAAATAATAGAGGAATTGTTTTCTTGTCTACATTATAGTCAAACAAAAATTAATTCTGTGAGATTTTGTCCATGTTTTAAAGCAGGAAGATTTCTTGAGCTTTCAGTTGAGGAGCAGAAAGAGATTTACCATACATTGGTTCACTTTCCTTTATAAACTTTATTCATGCAATGTTGAAAAGAATTATACTGTCTTTTCAATGAAATAGAAAATGCATTATTATGAAAGAAAGTAATCTTGGGTAGTAATAACTTAAGAAAATGTTCTCTTCTGTGTAAACACACACTAATTTTTTTATCTCAAAAGCAGAATTCCTTCAATAAGAAAAAAATAATGTGAATAAAATCAAATAAAGGATTTTATTTACATACTACATAAAATAGCAAGCTGTTGAATGACTTTGAAGATACTAGCTATTTTTTTCTGCATGTGGCTTTAGTTTGAGAAAGGAATGCATTATAGAAACAAATAACAGAAAGAAAATTGGTGCAAATTTTCACAGAAACATTATCAGAGTCAGGTAATGAAGGCCTAATGAATAGAAGCAGAATGGTGTTCAAGACAGTGTTTGGAGACAGGGATCAGGGTTCAGCTACATTGTTACTTTTGCTTCCCTCTGTTCTGTATATCCCCCCACCACAGTCCCGGTGGGTTGCGCAGGGGCTTTT